ACACACGTCAACTCCACTCTGTGTCTTCCACTCACATGACCGTCTCCAACACAACACAATACAAACCTCCACTCCCACTTACTCACACAAACAAACACACACAGAAACACAGAAATCCACAAATCCAGAAACCCAGAAACCCAGAAACCCTGTCTATCACTCCTCCACTCATTCCAACAACACTCCTCATCCAACAACAAACATCTCCGAAAAACACTCACACACTCACACACTCAAACACTCACTCACTCATTCAATCACCCACTCACTCACTCACTCACTTACTCACACACACACACACTCACCATCAACAACACAACACAACACAATACTACACCATCTCATCCACACATCCACATACTCGATCATCACAACTGAACACTGCAAACAACTGCAAACAACTGCACACAACTGCACACTCGTGAAACACTCGTCTCGCACACAGACCAACTCATCAACCACATGCACATGTCCCACTGCAACTGTCATTGTCACAGCCTCCGACAACACCCGACAACACACAAATTACTATCACGTCTATCTGTTTCATTCTCTTCCGTTTACAGAACCCGGAGCGACACCAGACACACAATCGCCTTCCAGCACAACACCGGACGACGACGATCTCTACATCTACTACATTGACAAGTCTGGTAAGAGGAGAAGACGACCTCGACCTCGTAAAACACCATCAGACACACCAACCAGCTCGACACCAGTCACCGGTTCAGTGAAACGTGAGTCACACACATAACAATTCCTATACCACTCTCCACACATCCTCACACATATTCACACTGATTTCCTCATCGCACATCACGTCACCCGCAACCTTATATCCACTTCCCCTTCAATGTCCCACTGTCCATTGGGAACCACGGCCAACATGTCAGTGACACTGTGCTGCCACACACGTCAACTCCACTCTGTGTCTTCCACTCACATGACCGTCTCCAACACAACACAATACAAACCTCCACTCCCACTTACTCACACAAACAAACACACACAGAAACACAGAAATCCACAAATCCAGAAACCCAGAAACCCAGAAACCCTGTCTATCACTCCTCCACTCATTCCAACAACACTCCTCATCCAACAACAAACATCTCCGAAAAACACTCACACACTCACACACTCAAACACTCACTCACTCATTCAATCACTCACTCACTCACACACACACACTCACCATCACCAACACAACACAACACAATACTACACCATCTCATCCACACATCCACATACTCGATCATCACAACTGAACACTGCAAACAACTGCAAACAACTGCACACAACTGCACACTCGTGAAACACTCGTCTCGCACACAGACCAACTCATCAACCACATGCACATGTCCCACTGCAACTGTCATTGTCACAGCCTCCGACAACACCCGACAACACACAAATTACTATCACGTCTATCTGTTTCATTCTCTTCCGTTTACAGAACCCGGAGCGACACCAGACACACAATCGCCTTCCAGCACAACACCGGACGACGACGATCTCTACATCTACTACATTGACAAGTCTGGTAAGAGGAGAAGACGACCTCGACCTCGTAAAACACCATCAGACACACCAACCAGCTCGACACCAGTCACCGGTTCAGTGAAACGTGAGTCACACACATAACAATTCCTATACCACTCTCCACACATCCTCACACATATTCACACTGATTTCCTCATCGCACATCACGTCACCCGCAACCTTATATCCACTTCCCCTTCAATGTCCCACTGTCCATTGGGAACCACGGCCAACATGTCAGTGACACTGTGCTGCCACACACGTCAACTCCACTCTGTGTCTTCCACTCACATGACCGTCTCCAACACAACACAATACAAACCTCCACTCCCACTTACTCACACAAACAAACACACACAGAAACACAGAAATCCACAAATCCAGAAACCCAGAAACCCAGAAACCCTGTCTATCACTCCTCCACTCATTCCAACAACACTCCTCATCCAACAACAAACATCTCCGAAAAACACTCACACACTCACACACTCAAACACTCACTCACTCATTCAATCACCCACTCACTCACTCACTCACTCACACACACACACACACTCACCATCAACAACACAACACAACACAACACATTACTACACCATCTCATCCACACATCCACATACTCGATCATCACAACTGAACACTGCAAACAACTGCAAACAACTGCACACAACTGCACACTCGTGAAACACTCGTCTCGCACACAGACCAACTCATCAACCACATGCACATGTCCCACTGCAACTGTCATTGTCACAGCCTCCGACAACACCCGACAACACACAAATTACTATCACGTCTATCTGTTTCATTCTCTTCCGTTTACAGAACCCGGAGCGACACCAGACACACAATCGCCTTCCAGCACAACACCGGACGACGACGATCTCTACATCTACTACATTGACAAGTCTGGTAAGAGGAGAAGACGACCTCGACCTCGTAAAACACCATCAGACACACCAACCAGCTCGACACCAGTCACCGGTTCAGTGAAACGTGAGTCACACACATAACAATTCCTATACCACTCTCCACACATCCTCACACATATTCACACTGATTTCCTCATCGCACATCACGTCACCCGCAACCTTATATCCACTTCCCCTTCAATGTCCCACTGTCCATTGGGAACCACGGCGAACATGTCAGTGACACCGTGCTGCCACACACGTCAACTCCACTCTGTGTCTTCCACTCACATGACCGTCTCCAACACAACACAATACAAACATCCACTCCCACTTACTCACACAAACAAACACACACAGAAACACAGAAATCCACAAATCCAGAAACCCAGAAACCCAGAAACACTGTCTATCACTCCTCCACTAATTCCAACAACACTACTCATCCAACAACAAACATCTCCGAAAAACACTCACACACTCACCCACTCAACCACTCACTCACTCATTCAATCACTCACTCACTCACTCACTCACTCACACACACACACACACTCACCATCACCAACACAACACAACACAATACTACACCATCTCATCCACACATGCACATACTCGATCATCACAACTGAACACTGCACACGACTGCACACAACTGCACACAACTGCACACACGTCAACCACTCGTCTCGCACACAGACCAACTCATCAACCACATGCACATGTCCCACTGCAACTGTCATTGTCACAGCCTCCGACAACACCCAACAACACACAAATTACTATCACGTCTATCTGTTTCATTCTCTTCCGTTTACAGAACCCGGAGCGACACCAGACACACAATCGCCTTCCAGCACAACACCGGACGACGACGATCTCTACATCTACTACATTGACAAGTTTGGTAAGAGGAGAAGACGACCTCGACCTCGTACAACACCATCAGACACACCAACCAGCTCGACACCAGTCACCGGTTCAGTGAAACGTGAGTCACACACATAACAATTCCTATACCACTCTCCACACATCCTCACACATATTCACACTGATTTCCTCATCGCACATCACGTCACCCGCAACCTTATATCCACTTCCCCTTCAATGTCCCACTGTCCATTGGGAACCACGGCCAACATGTCAGTGACACTGTGCTGCCACACACGTCAACTCCACTCTGTGTCTTCCACTCACATGACCGTCTCCAACACAACACAATACAAACCTCCACTCCCACTTACTCACACAAACAAACACACACAGAAACACAGAAATCCACAAATCCAGAAACCCAGAAACCCAGAAACCCTGTCTATCACTCCTCCACTCATTCCAACAACACTCCTCATCCAACAACAAACATCTCCGAAAAACACTCACACACTCACACACTCAAACACTCACTCACTCATTCAATCACCCACTCACTCACTCACTCACACACACACACACTCACCATCACAAACACAACACAACACAACACATTACTACACCATCTCATCCACACATCCACATACTCGATCATCACAACTGAACACTGCAAACAACTGCAAACAACTGCACACAACTGCACACTCGTGAAACACTCGTCTCGCACACAGACCAACTCATCAACCACATGCACATGTCCCACTGCAACTGTCATTGTCACAGCCTCCGACAACACCCGACAACACACAAATTACTATCACGTCTATCTGTTTCATTCTCTTCCGTTTACAGAACCCGGAGCGACACCAGACACACAATCGCCTTCCAGCACAACACCGGACGACGACGATCTCTACATCTACTACATTGACAAGTCTGGTAAGAGGAGAAGACGACCTCGACCTCGTAAAACACCATCAGACACACCAACCAGCTCGACACCAGTCACCGGTTCAGTGAAACGTGAGTCACACACATAACAATTCCTATACCACTCTCCACACATCCTCACACATATTCACACTGATTTCCTCATCGCACATCACGTCACCCGCAACCTTATATCCACTTCCCCTTCAATGTCCCACTGTCCATTGGGAACCACGGCCAACATGTCAGTGACACTGTGCTGCCACACACGTCAACTCCACTCTGTGTCTTCCACTCACATGACCGTCTCCAACACAACACAATACAAACCTCCACTCCCACTTACTCACACAAACAAACACACACAGAAACACAGAAATCCACAAATCCAGAAACCCAGAAACCCAGAAACCCTGTCTATCACTCCTCCACTCATTCCAACAACACTCCTCATCCAACAACAAACATCTCCGAAAAACACTCACACACTCACACACTCAAACACTCACTCACTCATTCAATCACCCACTCACTCACTCACTCACTCACACACACACACACTCACCATCAACAACACAACACAACACAACACATTACTACACCATCTCATCCACACATCCACATACTCGATCATCACAACTGAACACTGCAAACAACTGCAAACAACTGCACACAACTGCACACTCGTGAAACACTCGTCTCGCACACAGACCAACTCATCAACCACATGCACATGTCCCACTG